ACCCCCCCCCTCTGAAAAAAAAAAAAAAAAAAAAAATCAATAAAATATATTAAAAAAAATAATGGCAGTGTGGTCTTTTAAGATTTTCAGAAATTCTGAAAAATTGTATATTTTATAATAGGGTTATTATATTTATTATGCAAATCTAATTTAGCAAAATTGAGTATATTGTATAAAATGTTAATGAGATTAAGGAAAGAAGATGTTACCTTTTATCATTTATAATATTGCTTAATGAATTTCTAAAACTGAATTTAAATTAAATGTATATTCTGGTGAAATATTAAGAAATAATTATAAAAGTCAAATATATGTAATACAAATATATGTAAGTTTAAGATGGATTTATCGCTAGTTCTGTTTTTAAAATTTAAACAAATTTGTTATCTGAAATCATACATTTGAGTATTTTATGCTTTAATCTTACTATTTTAAATTTTTATCAGGAAATTCTCCTAAATTTGTAAGTCATGAATTTAAAGAAAAATAAGAGAAGAAAGTTAAAATATAAGTGCAGAATCCCAAAATGTAGTTGTGAATTTAGACATAAAAATTAGAAATATAAGTATTTTAATATCTGGATTTACTGAGTGGTATACATACTGTTGTGTATAATGTCAGAGAGTTTACCTGTTTACTTTATAAAAACAATGTGTCAACGTATTTTCTATTATTTATAACATAGCACAAGTTATTATTGTAATGTTTTTAAATGTTGACAGATTTACACATTGCTTATTTTTTTGTGAAATCATAACTGACACTAGTTATAAAAATGTAAGTTAAAAAAATCATAGTAGTATGAAACGCTAAGTCAGTGTGAAAATGATTCTGATACAAACTTAGAGGAAGGCTAGAAAAGAAATAATAGATCAACAGATATTTATTGAGAACTTACGATTTATGATGCATGCCAGTCCCTAGGAGTATGAAATATGAGATGGGCCTTTTAAGGGCATTATTCTTTTATTGACATGATCACCAGCCGAAGGGTAATTGTACAGAATGCAGTCATAACGCAGAAGGGAAATGTCTGCTCAGTTGCCATATCAAAAAAAGGAAGAGGAGAGTGTCCTGAGGAACAAGACATATTTCTTTCATGTAGCGATCGGTAACATCTGTAAAGTACGTGTGGCCTAAGTGGCGCCATGGTGCAATTCAAAATCATTTTTAAAATATCTCATATCAAATCTCACCGCCACATTTCAAATGTGGGTTATTTCTAATAACATTCTCCTTTTTTTCTGATTTGTTTCCAGAATGCTCGGGCCCATTGGGAATTGAAGGTGGAATCATCTCAAATCAGCAAATCACAGCTTCATCGACCCACCGAGCTCTTTTTGGACTTCAGAAGTGGTATCCCTACTATGCTCGCCTTAATAAGAAGGGGCTTATAAATGCCTGGACAGCAGCAGAAAATGACAGATGGTCATGGATTCAGGTAACAGACGGGTTGGGATAAGGTTACTGCTAAAGAATGACCAGAGTTACTTCAGAGAGAACACAATGAGAGCCCAGGGTGACTTTTCTTCATGGTCACAGAGGAAAAGATAATTTACTTAAGAGTCTAAATGTCCAAACTGTGAAAAACTTACATTCCATTGATAAGAGTGTTAAAAATTTTAAATTTGTGGGTTATGAATTTCACTATTTTAAGGTACATATAAAAGAAAGGTTTTTTGGGTTTTTTTTTTTTTTTTTACAATTCTGAAGGTGTTTTAATATATACTTTTATTTGTTGTCATCAACCCGCTATTTTTCAAAACAGGAGAACACAATGATCAACTGAGGTAGTAAGTGATTTTCCAAAGATGGAATAGATGGTAGCAATTCCAGTTCCTTATATTAATTTCAGTTAAATGCTTTTTGGCCACTTAGCTGAAGTGAGACAGTAAATTACATATTAGGAGGACACAAAAGGTGCTCAAACCAGTTTTCTGTGAAAAGATCATTGCTCTGTTGGAGGGAGGGTGAGCACATTAATAATATCTAACCAGTCATTGATGAGTGCTAAATAGAAGGAAAATCCAGTACACAATGGAGTCAGAGAAAGAAGTAATTAATTATCATGAAAAGCTTCTTGGGAAAGATAGACTTTGAAGTCGGCCTTGAAAAATGGCTTTCAATAGAGACTAAAAGCCAAGGGAATAGCATGATCAGAGGGGTCAGGTGAGAATCTGGGGAACATCACAAAGAAAATCATGTTTTGTGTATAGGCTGCTGGAGGAATGTGTTTACATGTAGTGTGGGAGTTTAGTGCGCCTTAGGGTTTTTACATGCTAAAAGGTTTGTTCTTGTTTCTTTGGAATAGGAAGCTATTACAGAATTATTATTTGTTTAGGTAGCTGATCTGTTTTATCTATTTACTGCATATTTTGTGTCCAGTTAATTTTTAACACGGGATGCTTTGATATGAAATTATTAGGTGCAGTGTATAGGGGTTGCTTTACATGCAGTTGCTAGGAAGGAAAATTGATTTATGGCCAAATAACTTATTTTAGGAATAGGATCATAATCTCCTTCAGATGATTTCTTTGTTCAGGTTTCTTGTGAATTTTTACATATCCTATATACATTTATTTCATCCATATGACTCTATGTGGCTACCTGATGTTTTTTGTTGTTTTATGAATTTATATTTGCATGCATTTGCAGAAATTCCTTCTTACATTACACATTATTTTTCTAATCTAGAGCCACATATGCAATGAGAATTCCAGATAAGGGAAATGGCACATCCTTATAGTTTCGATCCCAGACTAATGAATATCCCATCATAGTTTAAAATAGACCCTCGCCAACCCCCGAAAGTGCTTGCATTCTACTTGCTAAAAATTAATCCAGAGACCATTTTTTTATTTGACTATTATGAAATGCATTAGTGGAAATTAGTTCATGATAAAACTTTAGAAATTAAGATTTAGAACAGAAATTGCAGGACAATTGACAGATGGTATCATCAGTTTGTATCAAGGTTTCTGTTTAGATTATGTTTGTGAGCTTCAGTGACTGCCATGTTTTCGATAAACTATAAATAACATAGTTTTGCAGTGGTTTCTCTGAGAAACCTTGCATTAAAATTTCTGATATTATGATGTTCCCATATTTCATTTTAGTTTGTTCCAGTCTGTTGCTTACTTAACACTAATGCATCATTATGCCTTTCAAAGTATAAATGAATATTTTTTAAGCCCATGATAATAGGTAGATAAATATAACTTGGTCAATTTATGTAAAATATTTAAATATTTCTTTTACTTTTAAGGGCAGTTTATTATGATTACTATTTTATAATTATTTTGCTATTAGTGTGCAGATAATAATGAGGTCTTAGAGAATAACAGTAAAAGTAAATAAAAAAGGTTTCATATTGAATAAAGATATCTTGCCGATAATGGGAGGAAAATTGAAAGCTCACCATTGCTATTCATTAACTAGAGGCCCGGTGCATGAATTCGTGCACAGGTGGGGTCCCTCGGCCTGGCTGGTGATCGAAGCCAATCAGGATTGGCGGGCCCGGGGGAGGACTGCAGGAGGTTGGCTGTAGGACCGCCCTGACCACCAGCGGGCATCTTCTGCATTAAGCATCTGCCCTTTGGTGCTCAGTGTGCATCATAGCTACTGGCCGAATGATTGTGTTCAGAGTATATATTATATAATCGTATTATTTAATAACTTACTTTCGATCGCTTCTCGGCCTTTTGGCTAAGATCAAGTATAGTATCTGTTCTTATCAGTTTAATAATAACTTACTTTCTAAGTTATTTTTTGAAAATATAAAAGGTTATCCTTTAAAAATAATCATATTTAAGGGGCTCTGGGAAGACAGATCATGTACCAAATTTTCTGTGTTGAGCATTATTAATTTTCTTGTCATTTAATTTTTAATCAGTCCTTCAAATGACATTTGAGCACTTTGCTTAAACTCACTTAAAATTAGTATAGTAGTCCCTTAGTTTTTCAGGTGTATGACTCACATGCACTAATTAGTATTCAATTCCATTTTATTCCTTGTCTTGATGAATAAAAATTGAAATTACCATTTTAATATTAACACACTCAAAAAGCAATCATTGATGGCACCATAATGTTTATAGTTGGTTCTGGATGTAAAGGACTGGTCTAGTGAATAAAGTTAAACAGAAATATGTTATTGTTTTCAAGTTTTTCTAATCTTTATTTCCTGAAATGATTTTTTTTCAACTAAGAAATCACCACCTTAAACACTAACTGGTTCATTAGATTATCAATTTCTCTTTCTGACTGACATGTTAGAAATAGTAACTTTGCACAATTATGGAAATACTATAATGAAATTCATGCATTCACGAGGGGGTCCCTCAGCCCAGATTGCGAGAGGGCACAGGCCAGGCCAAGAGACCCCACCAGTGCAAGATCGGGGCCGGGGAGGGATGAGGTAGGTTGGCCAGCCAGGGAGGGACCACAGGAGGGCTCCAGGGCATGTCCGGCCCATCTCACTCAGTCCCAATTGGCCGGACCACAGCAGCAAGCTAACCTACTGGTTGGAGCATCGGCCTGCTGGTGGTCAGCGCACCTCATAGTGAGCGGTTGAGTGGCATTAGCATATCATTAGCATATTATGCTTTGATTGGTTGAATGGCCGACCAAACACCTAGCATATTAGGTTTTTATTATATAGGACTAGAGGCCCAGTGCACAAAAATTTGTGCACTCGGCGGGGGGTGGGGAGGGTCCCTCAGCCTGGTCTGCATCTATTCACAGTCCAGGACCCCTTGGAGGATGTCCACCTGTCAACGTAGGCCCATTCCCAGGGGGGATCAGGCCTAAGCTTGCAGTCAGACATCCTTCTGGCAGCCAGGGAGCCTTCGGGGAATGTCAGAGGAAG